GTGACATCTCAGGAACGTTTCAAGAAAAAAACTTGTGTAGGCAACTTCAGTTAAGTCTTATCTGATTATTCCAGCTAAGATCTGATGAAAAATGTTAGAAGCCCAGTATTTTAATCCCTGTGTTTGGGGAAACAACATGGATGCTGACTGGCGAGGCTGTTAGGCTGATGCCTACTGTAAGGAGCAGGCAGAGCAATGCCACTTCATTGCGGTCTTTGGAGAGGTGGGAGTTGAGAGGTGAGGAGTTGTTTTCTTTTGTTAAAGTTGGAAAATTTGCAGTAACATGCTAGCAGTCACAGTGAAATTAGTTTCTTATTGCTCTGTGTTTTAGATTTGCACGAGACGTATGTAAAGCATTGCCACTCTGATTTGATTACTTTCAGAAGCTGCAGATGGGCAAAAATAATGCTACAAGATGGAGGGGACAGGCTTGGCGTGGCTGGGAGCTTTGCTGGCATAGGGCCTGCTGCCCTGCGTCGCTTGCAGAGGATTAGCATAGATACTGAGCATCCTGCCGTCCCAGAGCGAGTGCAGATCCCCGATGACTCCCTTGTTCAGTCTTACCTTACAATGCGTAAGGCACAGTAAGGGGGACATTTGTATATTCAGGAAGGTTTTTAACGTAGTTGCTATTTGGATCCTTACTAAAATGCACTGGCTTCCTTTCTGAGTGCAAAACACAGCAGCTACTAACACATTTGGTAGCTTACAGAGTCTGTATTCCCAATGCATTGTTCAGGGATTTTTATTTCATACATCATTTCTTGGTCACAGCTGTATAATCATATATCAAGTCTATAGAGCATAGCATGGCATTGAGGATGTATTCTGAATACACACTAAATATTGAAAAATCAACGCAGAGGAAACTGTATTTTTTACTGCAGCTTGCCAGAGCCAGTTTCTCAATTCTGTAAAAATCCACATACTTTTCTAACAACTATAGACCATTGATCAAGTAAACAATCTACCGATACAGATTCAATGGAGATTTGGTTTTCTTAGGCACTAAAGTAGTACTGTGAGCTAATAAATAAATAAATAAATAATCCGACAAAAGATTTCTGTAAATTACATTAAGAAACGTTACTGACACCGTAACACTCCTTTGCAGGGGCAGTAGTATCTGGAACATCTGCTGTCGCAGTGAGTAGTTTCCTGCCTACATGAAAAGCCCTGCCGTAAGTTATTCCCCTTAGAACCTATGACATGTGGGAACAGAACCATACATCTCCACCACAGCCACCAAAGCAACCGGGATTATTTCTGTGACTGAAAGCAGGAATAGTTTTTACCCTTTCTATGCAAAGGCTTCTACAGAGAGATGGCGTTTAACCAGCCTGTTACACATGCCCTGGTTTTAGTGAATAGGAAGTCTACAATGACGCTTCCGATGTAATTATCTGTTATTTACTCATTAAGTGCAAAAGGAAGCTTCAGACAGCCTTATGTGTTGCTCAATAGAATGACTTATTTTCTCAGGTCAGCAGCCAAAACTGACATATTGCACTGCTTTTCTGATCGTCCTTTGCTTGGGAGCAACTCCCACAATGCTGGGCAGGATCACAGCAGCTGTTTCTTAGGCAGCTGCAAGCAGGTTCGCTCGTAACAACAGAAAAACCTACAGAGCCAGCACAAGGAAGTCCAGAGGAGAAGCTATAGACATGATTACTAATATTCTGTCTAGGATGGCTTGTTATCTTTATGCATGAACGTGAGGACGTTTTATTCCAGGACACTAGCCTCAGAGAGGAAGACAGGAGATGTAAAGTAATCCATAAGCAAGTGACATTCATCATAACATGTTTAGAGTAGGCAGTCTGGGCCATCTGCATTATTTATCCCCTTCCTTCTCCCTCTCCTGCCCTTTTTTTAATCAACTCTGACTTCTTCTGCATTTGTATACATTTTTGAATTGCAGCGTTCCTGAGAAAGAAGGACCAATCTCTGTCCTGAAGAGCTGAAAGTGGGAATAAAAAGGTTTCTCTGTTATCGCTCCCACCAGTGGCAGGAGGTTAGACTTAGTTATTCAGAAAGTCCCCTCCAGTCCTATAGTTCTGTTATGAAAAAGATAAATAACAGAAAGATCATACACTGTAGCTAAAGGAATGAGAAACATTAAAGCAAAAGGAATCAGCCCGATCCTACCAGTCCCAAGAAGTTTGCTCTTTATTTCACAATATATTTAAACATGAATTGATTCAAAGGCTTGTGGACGCCTGGAGTTGTTCTCCCCTTCACTTCAGAAAAGTTTGGATCTGGTTCTTTGAGAACAGACAGGCGCAACTGTCGGTGAAAGATTAACCAGAGCTTAGATAATGTTAGCGCTTGCTTTTCCCCATGTGCTTGCTGTGCTCTCAGTGTGGTACGGTATGCTGTAATGATACATGTGCAGTGTCAACACCCGCATACCTAGGCCATGGATTAATGGGCTGCATGATGCAAAGGCAGCCAGCTGGTACTGCAGAATGTCCAGAAACAGGATAACCACATTGGTATGGTGCCAGGGTCTTTGCCGCTCCTGGCTGAGGCTGGCACTAGCTGGAGGATCTCTGCTCCGTACAGTCAGTCAACAGGAGCTGGCCTTGCTTGTTACACTTAGATGTCCTGTCCTTTGTTCTTTTAACCGAAACCATCCTAATTTATATTTGTTTTGTGTTACCCATGCTTTTCTTAGTCTAGTTGTCCCATTCACCTGTTTTTTTGGGGTTTTTTTTGAAATTTCACTAGACGGTAAGTAATTCTAACACCACACCTTGCAAATTATTGCAGTCATATTATTTATTCCTAGCTCTTAGACTGCTTCTGGGTTCCATTTTATATCTTAGAAAAATAGCTCCTCCGTATCACAACGCTTCCCCTCTCCTCGCCCGGCACACGCAGCAGCACAGCCCTGCGCTGGAGACAACGCAGCGTGTTCGTACTCTATCTTTCATCAAAACAAAATCACAACGGTGTTAATCTTATCAGCCTCAAATAGTGGCAGAAGTCTGCACAAACTCCAGTCCTTGCTGTCTGACAGTGTCAGTGAAGAAACACAGTTCATCCTCATCCAGGATCTCAGTTGTCATAGCGAACTGACAGTACACACAGAGCTGCAGTATGTAGTGCCAGCGCTACAGCTGTAGATGATCCTTAACACACTTTCTTTTACCCTCCTCCACCAAGAAAAAGCAACCTTTACTTCAGGATGGTGAGGAAAAAACAGTCCAAAACCTTCTTTTGTGCAATATCGCTAAGAAAGCGTCTATGTGGCTGTAAAAATACTCAGAAATTTTATTTAGCTGCTTTTTTTTTCCTGTCTTATACTTGCATAAGTTATGATATGTGTGATATGCATTATGGTATGTAGCTCTGTAAAAAGCTTCAGGCAGACTGTGAGGTTTTTTCTCCACGTCTGTGGATATTTTAAGTTTTCTTTAAGCACAACTTCTGGCCTTGTTCCGCTTTGCACTACTCTGAGCACCTCAAAGTGCACTATTTGAACATACTCAAAACTTGATAGGAAATGAAGTTTTTTTAGGCAGACCACAATGATTTAGCGTGGCTGTTGAAGTTAACGCTTTTGCAATGCTAATCAGTGACACTGAACAGAATTGTTTACGCATCCCTGGAGGCAACTACTTTAAAAAAATCTTTAAAACCCATTCTAAAAGAATCATTAAAACTCTATACTCAGATTTGCTTTAAAGGATATGCTTTTAGGTGAAGTATAAACTAAGCCAGATTTTTCAAGCAAGTTAGGCTGTCCAGTTACCATGCACAAATTGGGGATTTGTGTGTGGAAGTGGCCAGTTCTCTTAATTGGCACGTGCCATTTCTGAACGGGGCATGAAAACTGTGCTCATATTTTGTACAGACAACTGTGTGCTTAAACCCATTTTAAACCCTGTATGATGATATACTTTGTCTATCCTCTTTTCTAACTAGAAGACCAAAGAGGTGATACTGAGATCTTTCATCAAGAAGCAGAATGGGAGGCTAAATCAAACCAAGGGCATAGATGCATTGGAACCACGTTTTTTAAGGAATCATTCTCCTGAGATTTGGCTTGAACTCTAACCTGGGAAAATTCTTCAGTTTTGACCCAGGATCAGAATGAGCAGATTCATAACATTTAAAAAGAGAGTGACTGATGGACGTAGCTTAATTGGAAAGCTGGAGAATCACGGGTAAAGTTGTGATATGTTGAATTAGCCAGCCTTCTTCTATCAGTACAGCTGTAAGCTTCCATAGTCATAAAAAAGACTAATAATGCTTGGACAATTTTTAGATTAAAAATCTTTGCATTGGAAGAAAAAGTACAGAATTTGTCCTAAAAAATCTTAAAATAACAGTATCACAGTGTCCAGTTAGGTACGTCAGGAAACAGCAGCTTTACCAAGAGCTTTTGATTTTCTTTCTTTTTAGTACTTTTCTTGTCTGATATTTTTGAAAATAGGAGATCAGAACACAAGGGAGCCGGAGTGAGATGAGGAGGAGCTGCAAGACGAGAAAGAAGAACAACAGGGAGCTGTAGAGACTGAGGAAGTGCAGCTAAATGAAACAGCATGCAGATGAGAAAAACAAGAAGCCAGTGAGGGTGTGGAGGTATGAGAGTGAGCGGAGGGGAGCAGAACAAAAAGAAACTTTAGCCTTTCTGATCTGTAAGGCTGTCTGTATTTTGCGTTTGCTGTTAAATATAGATGACAATGCATGTTCTGCAAGACAGGGAAAAATAAAGGAGGCCAGAAAAAACAAATGCTGTGAATAAGTCTTTGGGTTATTCTAAAAGCATAAAAGACTTTCAAGTTGCTGCTCTTTTGATTTATTGTGATGTTAGCAGGATCGAATGGTGCCTGTGCAGCTCTGCGTTTCGGATTTATGAATCCGTGCAGTAAACATGGTTTCAGTTGTCTTGGACAAATGTTTGGATTTTTTGCATAGGGAAGCCTGCTTTCATGAGGAGAGCAATGTTGTTCGCCCTGCTGTGCTAGTTAGCGTTGGTGTGACCCACTTACCTGCTCGGAGCCCCTCGGGTTGAATTTGTGTCCTCTCCCCCGTCCTGTCCCCGTGGAAGAGCTGCTCCGCTCCCCGTCAGAACTGGCTGCGCTCGCTTGTCAGGCAAAATGTTTCCCGCATGGAAATTGCTTGCAGGGTGTTCGGGATCTTTAGTTTGGATGCTAATTAAATGTAATGTACCAGTGCTACTTTTATTGCTATTAACGTGAGGATTTTTGCCCAGCTCCAATTAATGTGAGGAAAAAGGAAGAAAAAGGCGTTTTTGACAGCCTGAAGAAAATTCTGTTCGAATATCTTTGTTTCCTCTACTCATTATGTGTTGATATAAATGTAAATGTCTATGAGAAATGTGGAAAGGAAAATGTAAGGCAATACACACTTATTTTTGGCTGGGAATAGCTGTACTTATGAGTCAATTTGGGCTCGCTAGCCAAAAAGACTTGGCAACTATGGTAGTGACAGCATTTGCACATACTTTTATACATTTGCTGTTAGGGGCTGATCTTGCAGGATTCTGTAGTCTCAATGTATTGTAAAGTAAATTTAATGTAAGATTGAATGGAAGGCAATAAACTCACAATAAGCATGCAGCATGACCTGTTGCTTAATAGCTTTCTCACAAATGCAGTATCTCACCTGATTGCAATATGTGTCTGCTCTTCTATTAGGCACTCTCTTTTTTAGCAATCAGTCATATGGGTTGCAGTCAAAAATTAGCGGAGAAAAAATCTGAATTTGTGGTGGAATTTCTTATTTTCCAATTTCACCTTTTTAATTGAATTTCAGATTGATTGTTTCAGCCCATAAGAAGAAGGAAGGTATGTTGTTTCAGACCATGCGTCCTCAGTGAATGTGAGTAGACTTTTTGTTCTCAGAATTAAGCAAAATGATTATTACTGAAAGCTGGTGTTCATTAAAAAAAAAAAAAACCCTAAAGAATGACTGAAACTGAAACATATGCACCTTCTAAAGAAAACAGCTGTAAAGTCAAGCACCCTAATTAAAACCAGCCTTCTTATCTTTATCAGGGTAACACAGGTGGGATTATGGGAAATTCAGACTAGAAGCTTATACGGCTTTTTTAGAAAGGGATAGAGATTTCAAATAGAAGAAGAACAGACTGGTGGTTGGGGTAGATGCCCATGTTGCTACGTATCAGCAGGCCAGGAAAAATGCATTGTGGTGGTGATACTGCAAAAAGAAAAAGAAAGAAAAGTTTTGCTTGAAAGTGACCAAAAAAAAAAAATAACCGAGCACTCTGTGTTGGCACAAGGAAGGGTCGTTTACAGTACAACCTATCATCAGTATTTAGTTTTTTCCTTTTCTCAAGACAGGTCCCTCTATTCTCAGAGCAATCAGTGTGCTCTCCGAACACATTGCAGGCTGTTGTTTAGCTTGGGGCTCTTCTGATTCAGTGGTGGTCCAGTAATCCTTCCTTCCGTGTATCTGGAGCTTCCTTTAATTTTCACCCCTCTCAACCCAACACCCTCCAGTCCCAGGGAGAGTGTGCTTCCAGCTGGTGAAAGAAATCAGCTTGCTGACTGACCTCTTACCTTTTGCACTATTGATCGTTATTAACTAGCTCGGGGGCCGGAGGGGGGAACCACATAGTCTGTGACTAGTCTCCGACTAGTCCAGGTAGTCAAAGGCAGGATTTTTGAGGGAACGTGCTTTCTTGGCAAGCGGTTCCACGTGTTGTTCCCCAGCCAAGGCTCTGTCGTGTGACTGAACAGGCTCTGTGGTTGGGCGAACTTGGGGATAATTCAGATCCTTACCAGCGGGAATTAAAATGTTGAGGCTTAAGTGTGTCTTGCCTAGAGAGGTGTGACCTGGAGGAGCCACAGTGAGCTTCACCCGGGCAGGGCTTACGTAGCTCTTCTCCTTAGCATGTCCTTTGTGTCTGGGTCGAAAGCTTGTGGTGAATGGCTTGGTCAAGGACTGTCTACCTCCCTTGTAAACAAGCAGCAGTTCCACAGTGTAAACAGTAAAACCTTTTAAAAATCATTTATGTAGTATACTGCGCATAGACCTGCAGTGCTTCTTACCCTGACTCCAAGTGCTTAGCTCTGTGAGTGTTTCTTCTGTGCTAGCTCTTGATAAAGGTCAGATTAATTGAAAAAATGAAATGCTTTCTCCTGGGTTTAATTCACAGTGGGAATATATTTTCCCTTGCAGAATTGTCACTCTTTTGATTTTATTTTTCCCTAAAAGAAAACTCATCCAACTGTCATATGACCTCTGGGAGCAAATATTCATCAGCTGTAAAATATAAATTGCTGTTTTCCTGTATCACTGGCAAAATATTCCTTCCTCCTGCCTCTGTTCCCAGTAAACGTTTCAGCTGGCACTATATATAAAATACAAGTGATTCTTCCTTTGGAAATGATGTTCTGTGCTAGCAGAGTGGAATGTAGTCCGCCCGTCCCTTGGAGTTGATCTGACAACTTGAACTCTGTCCTTTCATGCAGTATCACAGTAAGTCGCGAAGAAGAGGGGTGAAGCTCCGGATGAGTGCTCCGTCCCTAACCCAGAGATAAAGTACCTGAACGACAGGGATTTTAACAGTAGCAGGAGGCTTTTTGTTATAATAAAGACAAAGGAAAGGTGCAAACGCAGCGGAAGGAAAGGAAAACTCTTTTCCATCACAAACTTCCCATATCATCTTGAGAAAGTTTCTTGTCTCTCGCTTTCGGCTCCTAATTTATAAATCTGGGAAGCTGGAGTTTCCCTGTCTCATAGTAATGGAGAGGAGTGTAAGTGCATTTAAAATCCACAAGCAACAGGATTTGTAGATGTTATAAATTTCTATAGCTAGAAAACAACATGAGGAAAAAGACATGGGAAACATTACCCGTTAAAATACCTCTGTAAGAGCTGATAAAGGAATTGATCACTGTCGGAGTCTTTAAATCAAACTTTGATGTTAATGAAATATGTGTGCTGATTTAGTTCATCAGTGGGCTGTGTTCTTCCGGAAAGCAAAAAAACCGTAACGGTTTTCCCCACCCTAAAATATATATATATTACTTGTTAGAAGGTTACGGCCTGGTCGTCAGGCTCTGGCACTGCTGACATCCCTGGAAATCCTCCCTTTGCGTCCTGTGCCGGTTAGGTCGGGTCTCGAGTGAGCAGGCACATACTGGATGCATCAAGTAAGGCAGAGAATACTGTCAAGTGTAGAGTGATGCTGTGTGGCTGGTTAAGCTTTTCCTGAGAGCTGAAGTGGCAGTAGGGAGCGTTCAGAAAGCAAAGGCAAGAAAGCAAATGGTATGCAATTTCTGGTAAATGGGAGAGCCAGAGGCACAGTGACTGGCGCAAGAGCAGCCAAGGCCCTGCAATGAAAACGGCAGAAGGCAAATGATAAATGCCAGATCCGCCTGCATTCTCTCATTGCTTTCCTGTCTCTCACATATTTTGTCTCTTTTCTGATTTTCTATGTTCCTGTCATAGTGACTTCATTTGTAACAAGCAGCTTACTGCTTGAGGTTTGGAGTGATGATTAGCTGTGTTCCGGTATGAGTGATCCCTGAATTTCATTGCCTTTTTCACCTAACTCTGTCCAAGACAGAAACTTTACTTTGCAATGGTCACGTTATATATACCAGGCGGTTCTTTAACGTGAGCATATTGACTTGAATGTCAAATAGAGGAAGATTGAGTGAAGAAGTGAAGAAAATTAAGAAAAAATCATTGAGGGCAGAGAACTGATATCTTTAAAGGTTTTTGGTCTTAAGCATCTTTTTGTTTTTTAATAACTTCAACTTTATTCTGTTCCTTCAGCGCCCAAAAAATACTAGTTGGCATTAGAAATATGTTAGATGACGTAGACTGCACAAAATTAACTCATGTAGTGGCAGTGCCATTACTGAATGGTGACGGTTCCAGCAGCAATTCTGGCTCTCAGTTTTCAAAGCTTTGTCTGTATCCCTTTCACTCTAAATTGTATTGGGCTGTTTCATAACAGAAGTTGTCATCCCAAAGGCAGTATTTACAAGTACAATTTTTAATCTCTTAGAGTTGTAATTGCTATATTACCTAGCTTCGTGTTACTTCATGCATATTTTTATTTATAAAGGAGAGAAGAGAAAAATCTATTCTCTAAACATTGATAAAGGCAACTGCCTTTGTTCAGTTTTGCCTTTCAAACAGAGAAGCGATGGGATGGGATGGAAGGCTGCCTGAATCAAGTTTCTGTGACTCACTTGAGGTGGAAGAGTTGCTGGTTAATAGTACAGAGATAAAATAGAAAGGAACAACATTGGAAAGGCTATTGAAAATGTGGCAAAATTCAGGGTGATGTTGGAGTGAGCCTGAGAGCAGACACAAGTCGCTGGGAGTTCTGAGCCGACGCTGTCAACGTTTAGAGATGCAGCAATATGTTTATGTGCATTATGTGTGCGAAGTGGGTATTTTTGCTCAATAATTTGAGTGTTTGCAAATGGGGGCTGGTGTAGTAGAAAACCTGAGGGGTAGCACACTTAGCGCTAACTTCATCTGCTAGTAAGTGCCTTGTGCCTACAGCAGGTAACTTGGCCGACCACAGATATTCAGATTATTGGGGGCATCTTATGGTAGCTTTAAGTGGTTTTCCTGATAGTCCTTTCCTTTTGCATTTAATATTTGAACTAGCAAGAGGGAGAAGAGAAAGACGACTATAAAAATACTGTGGCTTCACCAGTGAAAGGTGAAATTCAACCAGTTAATAGTGGGAGAAAGTAGATAGGAGATGTTTAGATTGGTCTTTAAATTGTAATTAATGTATTATACCCAAGCTAGCTGCCTCATTGGTTTCAAAAGGTGTTGCAGCTTAAATATAACAGTAATTACTGAAAAATGGACAGAGCTGACCAGGCTTCATTCACATCACTTCTAGGATTACGAAAAGCCCAGAGAGATTAGAAAGAGACTGTTTGTTTTTACAGGCAAATTAAAGTTATGGGAGATAGAAAGCCAGTTGGACCCTTGTATCTTGCTCAAACATCTCAGATACAGTATTTCAATATTATTCAATTTGCATGCAAAGTGATATACTGATTAGCAGAGGTCTTATCCACATGCCAATCAATGCACCAGGCCCCACTATTTTCAGAGACACTGTCCCGAAAGTACTGGAGACCAACAGGGTTTTTGGCATGTTACTGTTTTATTGTAGTTCCATGTTGCTGCAATTCTGAGATTAGTAAGATATTAATTATT